TGGGTTCAGCGGCTCAGTCTGTAATCCCAGCACTTTGGGAGGCCAAGGCAAGTGACTTGCCTGAGCCTGCGGGTTCGAGACCAGCCCGGGCAACTTGGTGAGACCCCGCCTCTACAATAAAATAAAATAAAAATTAGCCGGGCGTGGTAGTGAGCACCTTTAGTTATGACTATTTGGAAGGCTGAGGCAGAAGGATTGCCGGAGCCCAGCAGGTTGACGCTGGGGTAGCCATGAGTGTGCCACTGCACTCCAGCCTGGGTGACAGAGTGAGACTCCAGCTCAAAAAAAAAAAGAAAATTATCTAAGAAAGAAAACACAAATAGACATAAGAGATTTAATAAGGCCAAAAAACAAAAGTAACCCAGGAAAAAAGTGAGACTCAGCAAAGTGCATCATATCAACTATAGAGACAAACTCAACAAGTAATAAGGACAGAAATAATATGAGTATTTAAGGCCCGTTACTTTGGCCCACATAATCCAATGTAGGATGTAACTAAAAGTATATTTCCTCAAATATAAAAATAAACATTATACAGTTATTTCAGATTTTTTTAAAAACATGAAAGCATCATTTTACAAAGATTCCTCAATTATTTACCTATGGATGCACCCAAAGTAGAACAGCAATTCCTGAATCTCATCTGATTAGCCACAGTATAACATGGCATTACATACCACACAGAGCCTGGAGGAAAACACAGCCATGTGATCTGCTGTCACTGTAAATTCATGATCACCAACCTCATGTGCACCCTCAGCACTGCCCAGCAATTCTATAACATTGCCTTAGTCAATTACAAAGCCTCTTTCCCAAATACTTCATACCTTGTCCTCACAATGGCAACACTTCTGCCTCTACCCTCACTCTATTTCCTCTTCTTTCACTAAAAATGAATAAATCAGAGAAGAACTTCTACAACTTCTAAATCCCTCCACCTACCTGCACTTACCTCCCTATCAGTGCTCTCACCCATGCTTGGACAGTCAGCAAATACCACACCCTCATCTCCAAAACTTACCTGGACTGAATTATTTCCATTGGCACATAAACATTGTTACTTTTGCCATCTTAAGAAAACAAAAAAACTTCTCTTACCCCATGCCACTGCCTCTTTCTCTGCTTCCCTATACATAAAACTTTTAAGACCCTCTATACTTAATGTTTCCATTTCTCTCCTTGAATAGCTCCCACCATTGCCCCAAAATCGCTTCTGTCAAGGTCACCGCTTATTTTCATGTTATTTAATCCAATAGTCAATTCTCAGTTCTTATGTTAGTGTATCAGCAGTCTTTAAAGCAGAGATCACTCCTCACTCCTGAAAATACTTTATTCAAAAAGCTGTCTTGTTTTTCTCCTCCCGGGCAGTAAATTCCTCCTAGGTATCCTTTGCTTTTCCTTCTCATCTCCCTAACCTCTGGACATTAGTATTGCCCTGGTACTTGGACCTCTCTTCCATCTACCATTGCTTCCTTGGTATCTTCACCCAGTCTCATGACTTTAAATTCTACCTACATGCTAATGACTCCCAAAATTGTATCTCCAACCTACAGTTCTCCCTGAACTCCAGACTCAAATGCCAACTCAACAATTCTACTAGGATAACTAGAAGCATTACACAATGAGTCCAGAAATGAATTTCTTATCTTTCTTCCGAAACCTTCTCTAATTCTAGTCTTTCTAGTCTCTGTTAAAGGTAACTCCAGCTGTCCAACTACTCCAAAAATCAAGTAGTTTTGGGTTCTTTTTCTCATAGCACACATCTAAACCATCAGTAAATCCTTTTGGTGGTACCATAACACTGTGTCCAAAATCTTAACAAGCCTCACTGCATCCACACTAGCACCCTGGTGTGAGCCTGGTAGCTGGCCTTCTGGCTTCTGTCCTTGTCCCTCTGTAGTTTACTGTCAGTACTACAGCCAGGGTGGGCTTTAAAAACCGAAGGCAGACCTTGATTCGCCTCAGCTACAACCCGCTAATTAAAGTCAATGCCCTTGAAATGGCTGACAAAGTCCTATACAACCCTTGACCCACCCTCCCCACAACCCTCACCTCTCAGCACTCATCTCCTATTGCTCCTCACTTCACCGGCCCTCTCAGTGCTCCCCCAACAGCCAGCTCTCACAGCAGGGCTGATTCATTTGCCAGCCCTCTTCCAGGAAGACCTCCCCTACAAATGTCTCAACCCCTCAATCCCTCTCTCAACTCTTTAATTCTTACATTCCACAGATGAGAACATAAAATGTATACACAACTACCTGGAAAAATGATTTGGTATTAAGGTGAATATTCACTACCCTAAGAATGATCAACTTCTTTCCTAAATACATACCCTGTAGAGAATCACACACAGGCCCAAGAAGATAGGTGGGAAAGCGTTCATGGCAGCACTGTACATAATTGCAATAAACTAAATACAATCAAATGTCCAGCAATAGGAGAATACATACACTGGGGTATCATCATTCAACAGAAGATTCTACAAAGGGAAAACAATGTAGTGTAGGAAAGAATATGAATGAATCTTAGAAACATGTTAAGTGAAAAAAGTTATAGAAGACTTCTTACAGGAAGATACCATTTCTATGAAGCTCAAAAGTAAGAAAACCAAACAATACATTGTTAAACCCATAAAATCGTGGTCAACTAATCTTTGACAAGGGTACCAAGAATACAAAATGGGGAAAGGATAGTATCTTCAGTAATACAAGGGTATCAAGAATACAAAATGGGGAAAGGATAGTATCTTCAGTAACTGGTACTGGGAAAACTGGATATCCACACGCAAATGAATAAGATTAAACCTTTATCTTAGACCACACACAAAATCAACTCAAAATAGATGAAAGACTTAAATTTAAGGCCTGAAACCATAAAACTCCTAAAATAAAACAGAGAAAAAGCCCCGTGACTGGTCTTGGCAATAATTTTTTGGATATGACACTAAAAGCATAGGCAATGAAAGTAAAAATAAACAAAGCAGGATTGCATCAAACTAAAAAGCTTCTGCAAAGCACAGGAAACAATCAACAAAATGAAAAGGCCACCTATGGAATGGGAGGTGAAGGTCAAGGGGTAAAAAGTATTAGTTATGCAAAGTAAGTTCTAAAGACCTACTATGCAGAATAGTGCCTAACAACTACTGTACCCTACCCTTAAAATTTGCTAAGAGGGTAGAGCTTATGTTCAGAGTTCTTACTACAAATAGTAATAATAATAAAGATGGGCAGAAACTTTGGAAGATGATGGATGTCTGTGACCTTGATGGTGGTTATGATTTCATGAGTGTATACTTAACCCCAAACTCACTGAGTTGTATACATTAAATATGTACAGCTTTTTAACATGTCAATCATACTTCAAAAAAGTAGTTTAGAAAAAATATACTGTTGAAGAATATCTATACATATGGTAAAAAATCCTTTTCTTTTAAAAAAATTTTATTATTTTAATTTTAGTTTTGGAGGTACATTGGGATTCTAGTGTACCCATCACCCAAATACTGAACAATGTAACCAACAGGTAATTTTTCACCTCTCACCTCCCTCCCAACTACCCTCCTTTCACAGTTCCCATTATCTGTTATTTCCATCTTCATGTCCGTGTATACCCATTGTCTAGCTCCCACTTATAAGTGAGAACATTTGATATTCTGCTTCTGAGTTTGTTCTCTTAGGATAATGGCTTCCAGTTCCATTCATCTTGCTGCAAAGGACATGCTTCCATTCGTTTTTTATGGCTGCACAGTATTCCATGGTACATATATACCACATTTTCTTTATCTAATCAGCCATTTAGGTTGGTTCCATGACTTTGCTATTTTTTTGACTTTGCTATTGTGAATGTGCTATGAAGAACATATGAGTGCAGGTGTCTTTTGTACATAATGATTTCTTTTCCTTTGGGTAGACACTCAGTAGTATGGGCTAAAAAGTAATTCTATTGTTAGTTCTTTGATGTATCTCCATACTATGTAAAAACCCTTTCCAAAATGCATGGAGTGATAAAGATAAAAGTCAAAACAGGAAGGCAAAGAATGACTAAAGAGTAACAGGTAAATTTACTCTTAGGTGCAGAGAACATAGGTGTTTAATTATTTTGCATTGTAACTAACATATAACCTTCACACATTTTTCTGTTTTTATAAATATTACAGCAATTTTTTTAAAGACACATGTGACCAAGTACTGCACTGAAAACACTGAGCATATTAATAAGTAGGATATGTCAAATGAATAATTTATGCCCTTAAGGATTTGAAAATGTTATAAAAAGTTACATTATGTTCACAGCATTTTATTTTGCTACTATCATAAAAATATCAGAATACTTCATAAGCCTATATTAAAATCTAACCTTATCAATATTTTTCTCAGGTTTAATCTATACCAATGCTTCTTTTGAATTTTTAAATGTTAAATTTCTAAAAATGAAATGAAATTGGTCAGAAAGGATTAAGAATTAAGGTTCACCCATTAGTATTCTCATCTCTGATTTCCATGGGTTTTCAACTGCTGTTTTACGTGCATCTTAGTTTAAGGACAGAAAAAAGATCTCAATACATCTATAATCACTATATTTTCTGTACGAAGTATTGCCTACTTAAAAGGTGCTCAGAGATTAACATATTAAAAAATAAATAATTATAAAATTACTGCCATTCTCATGCTTTAGCACAGTGACAATGAGAAATGGTTCCTGCTTAAATATATATGAAATAGTGATCATTTTCAATGGTTTAGAAATCAGTGAGCAAGCATAAATTAAAGATAAAAAGTAAGTGAAATTGCATTCTGAGATCAATAGTAATCACACTAGAGTGTCAAGGGCAAAGGATATTTCTTTCACCACTGTATCCCCAGCACAACCAGGAGATACTCAATAAATGTTTGCTGAATGAATGAAATTTTCTTTGTATTTTAAAAGATCAGGAACTTCCGTTCATTCTAAAAACCAACAACATAGCAAGCAAGACACCAACAGAATCTACTTATTCTCACCGTCTTGGGGACAGGAGCATTTCAACACACCAGTGTGCAGTAGCTTCAGCAGCAACTGGAGGCATCGGTCAGCCTTCAGCAGGGACATGTAGGCATTGGTACTAAGCTTCTCAAGGGCACCCAGAAGTGGATTCAAGAATATCCTCAAGACGTTCTGTGTCCTCCGCTTTTCACTAGATATTAAAAGACATGCCCAGATCAACCATTTCAAAAGCATAAAGAAATGATTTCTCATCTATAATTTGTGCAACTCGTTAATTAATAGATTCAGTTAGACGAAGGTACTCTTATGGATAACCGAAACAACCAACACCTGCAAGGACTGATCTTTTGGTCTCTATCTTCTTTTGAGTGCAGCAATTCACTATAGAAGAGAGCACCGGAAAGAACCGCTGTCCTCAACTCTAGGCACCAGCAGGGGAAAAAAATTTGATACCCAATTTATTTGCAAATTAAATCATTAAGACCCTTCAATAATACAAGACTGCTTTTATATGGACTATATCCATAATACAAAAAAAAAAAATAATGAAACAAGTTAGTTAAGGAAATGAGACATGTTTTAAAAATACAAAAAAAAAACAACTAAGGACTTACAAAAACTGTTACATCAATTTTAGTATTAAAACTTTGTCTAGAAAAGAAATTTGATGTAAATCAAATTAACTGTACTTTTTGCAAATATACTATCTAATCTATCCAGTGAATTTGCTTACTGCAACAATTATAATCTGGTGAAAACTGATCTGCTCACTTCTCAAAATATAAATGGGATAATTTTGTCTTTATTACCATTATTCAAAATTATGCATTGTAGGTCAAACCCAGTACATTTCTTTAGCTATTCTTACACTAAAATCTTACAACCCATTCTTCTAATACTCAAGACATAAAACCAGTGATTATTGTATATGGATTTTTTAATCTTCCCTAATTTAAGATCAAATTGTTAAATTTAATTTTACATTTAAATTTACCAACCTAAAAGGACTAATATACCCTTATTCTTATTTATTTATTGTTAATTTTAAGCATTTCTTTGGTATATTGCCAGTTGAGTACCTTGTAATCAACTCTATGCCAATCATTGAAAAGTCTGAAAACACATCATAAATCTGATCAGTCTTTTTAAAAAATAAGCTTTCTTTTCAATTATAGAAACAATTACCTATACTGAGTCTTCATTCCATCCACATCCACAGCCAGCAAGACCATCACAGCAACAAGCTTGGCTTCAAACCAGTCAGGCATAAAGCAGTTTTCTCTTGCTTAAATAATATGTAAAGTGTGTAAAACATTAACAAAAAACCTCCAAAAACAAAACAGCTAAGTGATTATGCCTTAATATTAAATTATTAGAGAAATACAGCTGAGATGAAATACAGTAGAACACTCTATGCCATGGTTCATTATATATACATATTTAAATACAGACAAAAATAAATCTTTGTGTACCTGCTACATGCCATGCACTAACCTGGGCACTGTAGACATGACGGTTCATGTGCATGTGGAATGTACAGTACAGGAGAAAAGCATTAATCAAAGAATAAGCAAATACACACAAAACTATAATTACAGTCAGAGCTATAAAGAAGAAGTACTGGCGATACTTGAGTGTGCACTAGGAAGACATGACGGCGTCTGGAGAGTAAGAGGAAGTTTCCTTGAAGAAATGACATTTGGGTTGAGTGTGACAGCTGAGAAGGAATAAGGCTGATGAAGAGAGACAGGAACTTTCTAGAAAGAAGGAAGAGCATGTCAAATGTCTTCTGGCAGGAGGAGGTATGCCATATTCCAGGAAACAGAAGGAGGCCCACGTGTACACTAAGTGAGAGGAAACAGCAAAAAACAAGGTGACATAAACAGGTAGGGAAGAGACCAAGAAATATTGTAGTCCTGTAGAGGACTTTTGCTTTTGTACCAAAGGCAACAGGAAGCCAATGAAGGCTAAAGGGAATATGTGTTCAAAGAAGAGGAGCAGAATTTTTTAAGACTGTAATTTGTATTTTGAAAAGGTTTATTTATAAACAATGTAGAAAAGATGATAGGAAAAAGAAAGAGTAGACGCAAGGTAAGCAGAGAAGAGGCAACACTAAGTATTTCAGGTGAGAGATGAGAGCTCCTTAAGAAGTGACCAGAAAAGGGACTGAATAGATAAAAAACTAGAGGCCACAGTATCTCAGACTTGTATCTGATCCCCAGTCTATATTTACTTTAGTAGGAACTAAAATTTATTTACTTTTATAGGACTAACAAAATAAACTTCTAAGAAATAGCACAGGAAATTTACTAAACGATAGAGAGACTAAAACACAAAAGGGGAACGTTCCATGATGAATAAACTTATGTGTTTTAAAAGGATAATTCATCTGACCATTTAAGACCTATTCCATAATCAGATTAGAGAAATCAGTAGATGAAAATGACTTGACCTGAGACAAAGCTAGGAAATTTAAGACATGTTAAATTCAAAGATACAATTTTCTCAGATTATCACTAATGACCTTAATGAAGAGGAAGTATTAGAAATGTAAAAAGAATACTAATTAATGAATCTGCTAAGAGTTGTTCCCTCATGCAGTCTTATACATTTCCTCAAAGAAAGAATCTTTGCAAAACTGATCTTTGCAAAGTATTCAGTGAAAAGAGAAAAAATTAACTGCACTATCATTTTAAACATAATTTTTTGTTCAAATTGTTTCTCAATCAGCTCATACTAAATATAATGCTTTGAAAACACACAATAAAAAAGAACTAATTTATCTACATATATTTTGACTACAGAGGCTCCAAAACACTCCTGCAATATCTAGCTTACAAGAATTCAGCAACTGTAGAATAAATTAATAAATTTATCTGTGTCCAATTCTCGCTCTGGCCACCTATTAGCTTCTTTAAACAAATAAAATTGCTTTTATCAGGTACAAGTTAGAAAACAGAATTTTTATGCTGTCATTTACATCATTTTACTGAAATACAAATATGGCATAAATAAATTGTCACACAATTGGTTAAGCCTAAATCTTTTTTCTCATAGTTGCTTATCAGTGTGCATAAGTCTATATCTTCATCTGAAAAACTACTTAAAAGTTCTTTAAAATATTTTGTTTATAGCAATCCATAAAAATGATTTCAGACTTACCATCCCAAGCAGGTGACTTAACATATTCTTGAACAAGGTTCTTCACATAAGCATTTAAAGATGTCTCATGAAGTCCACTGGAGTTACAAGTTGGGGACTTCTTGAAATAGTTCTCATTAACACGCAACCAGTCACAGAGCTGTAAAAGAAAATGGTTATTCCTTTATTTTAAAAATTCAACTAGCCGGGCATGGTGGTTCACACCTGTAATCCCAGAAATTTAGGAGTCTGAGGCGGGCGGATGGCCTGAGACAAGAAGTTCAAGACAAGCCTGGGTAATATGGTGAGACTTCATCTCTACAATAAATAAAAAAATTAGTCAAGCGGCATAGTGGTACATGCCTACAGTCCCACCTTCTTGGGAGGCTGAGGTAGAAGGATAACCTGAGCCCAGGAAGTCAAGGCTACGGTAGCCATGATTGTGCCATTGTACTCTAGCCTGGGCAACAGAGTGAGACTGACTCAGAAACAAAACAAAACAAAACAAAAAACCACCAACTGAACAAAGGGTTTCTAATTTCCCTAAGCCAATTTTATTTCTGCCACAATAAACTAAATTTAAATCACTAAATACAACAAAGTAATAAATGATTTATTGTTATAATAGAGTTCTACAGACAGTAAAGACAGAAAAAAATGTGTATTGTACGCATGTATGAATGTATATGTGTATGTGTGTGTGTGTGTGTGTGTGTGTGTGTGTGTGAGATATATACATACATATGTGTGTCTGTTTTCTAATCTTCCTGAAAGAATTTCTGAACTTCATTAATAGGCAAGAATTTCTAAAGCACCTAATATAAAATGCACATTTTGATAAGGTGTTCTAAAGAACATCTCTATGAAAAATAACACATTATGTAAAGCACATTACAACCTTAAATTTAAACTCCTCTAGCTTCTTATACTAAAACAAGAACTTTTATTTTTGAGAATATAGAATTTGAAATGTAAGTTATAATTAAAGTTCCTACTCTTCTCACAAGTTTATTTTTTAGCATATGTGCATGTTAAAATATTATATATTAAAAGAGAAATACTGCCCAAGTCCTTCTCTACTACCATCTCTTAGAAGATTTGCAAAAATAAAACAAAGAATTTCACAATTAATCTTGGATCACACGTAATGTCAATCTTTTGTTTTGAAATCAAAATATTTCTGAATGTCCTTTTTTACAATATCTATTTTAGTAAGCAATTTCAATGAGTCTAAATATGAAGAAAATAATTAAGAAATAAATACAGCTGAAAATAATTTTTTAACATATACTTTTTACATCCATTAAAGTCCTCCAAAATCACCTAGAACAATACATCATTTGCCCAAAGACAAAACTGAATGACTTAATTAATAAATTGGTCAAGACCAAAAGACACCCCATAGGCACAACGAACAGTACAGTAACACTAAAGAAGGTTGCTCTGTGTAGGATAATCCTGCGATATAACCTAACAGTAAGGTCAGCAAGCATTTATCTTTTACCAGTATATGCAAACTTTATTTAGAGTTCTCTAAATCTGACCAAAGTTTCCTAATGATTGCGATCAAACATGTGAGGCTTTTCAAATCTTCTATTTCCAAAGGCGTGAGTGTTATGCCAAAACTATTTTTGACAAGTGAAGTCAAACTCATATTTGGTTCTTTCTTTCCCCTCTATCAAATCTGTCACAAAATTTCAGCCTATTTTCCCTCCAAAGAGTTTTCGTGTCATCCTTGTCGTTCCAAACGGCATCTAAACAGCAGCTTCTGGTGAGGAGGCTCCCTCCATTCCTCACTGAAATACAAGTCTCAAAAATCTACTTGGACGTTTCAAGAGAATGAGAAGAGAAGCCACAGATTAGGACAAAGTATTCACAAAACACATATCTGATAAAGGACAGGCATTCAAAATATACAAAGAACTTTTAACACTTCACAGTAAGAAAACAACCAACCAAATTTTAAAATGTGCAAAAGATCTGAACAGATACCTCACCGAAGAAGACATACAGATGATAAACAGAATATACAATGAAGTCCAATACTATACATTAGAGAATTGCCAACTAAAACATGCTATCAGTCGCATCTACTAGAGTAGTTAAAATCGAGAATGTTGACAACAAATGCTGATGAGAATGTTGAGCAATAAGAACCCTCACTCTCGCCAGGTATGGTGGCTCATGCTGAACTTCGGGAGGCCAAAGCAGAAGGATTAAGTTAGGAGTGCGAGGCCAGCCTAGTCAACATAGCGAAACCTCGTCTCTACAAAAAAACGTGTAAAAATTAGCCAGGCATGATAGCATGTGCCTGTAGTCCCAGCTACTCGAAAGGCCGGGGTGGGAAGACTGCCTGAGACCAGTAGGTTGGAGCTGTGGTGAACCATGATCACATCACTGCACTCCAGCCTGCGTGACAGAGTGAGACCCTGGCTCAAAGCAAAAAATACAAAAAAAGCTCTCATTCCTTGCTGGTAGGAATGCAAAACAGTACAACCACATTAGAAGAAAGTTTGGCAGTTTAAAAAAAACTAAAAATTAAACATACCTTTACCATAAAACCCAGCAATATGCTCCTTGGTATTTACCCCAATGAGTTGAAAAGTTATGGCCACACAAAAACCTGCACACAGATGTTTACAGCAGTTTTATTTATAATTGCCAAAACTTGGAAGCAGCCAAGATGTGTTTTAATAAATAAATGGATAAATAAACTGTGATACATCCAGATAATGGAATATTATTCAGAGCCAAAAAGAAATGAGCTATCAAGCCATGAAAAGACACAGAGGATCCTTAAATGCATATTACTAAGTGACAGAGCCAATCTGAAAAGGCTACCTACTATATGATCCCAACTACATGACACTCTGAATAACGCAAAACTATGAAGACAGTAAAAAGATCAGTGGTTGCCAGGGTATGGAGGAAGGGAGGATTGAAGAGAGAGAGCACAGAGAAGTTTCTGGGCAGTGAAACTATTCTGTATGAGACTGTAATGGCATTATACGTTTGTCCAAGCCCATGGAATGTACCCTAATGTAAACTATGAACACTAGTCAGTAATAATGTACTAATATGAGGTCATCAATTTTAACAACTGTACCACATTAATGTTAATAATAGGGCAACTATGGTGACAGAAGGAGGGGTGAGGGGTTATGTGGGAACTCTCTGTACTTTCTGTTTAATTTTTTAATAAACCCAAAACTGCTCCAAAACATAAAGTCTAGTAATTAAAAATTATTTAGGTGCAGCTACATGAAAATGCCAAATCTACAGACTAAAAATAATTGAGTATCAATTATTTCATATGATTCAACATAATATAACAACTAGAGATTTACATGAGAAAACAGTTATAGGATACAGCCAAATCAACACTAAGATGTATACACATATATATGTATTTTAATTATTAAACAAATAAAATAATTAAAATTTGGGTTCAACTATAACCACCAACTATAATTAGCCTCCTGAAGGCAGCTGGTATATTCCTCTCGCTGACTACCGAATTTGCAACACTTAGCACATGACTGTTGTGTGGAAGTATGCGATAAATGGTTCTCAATAAATGAACCTGAGACATTAGAAAACAAGCAAAATAAACTAAAGGTAAAAGAAGAAAACAGATGAAGGGAGACATTAATGAACTACAGAACTGAAAAATTAAGTGGAACAGATAAATCTAAAAACTGGCTCCTTACAAATAACCGACAAAACAGGCAAATGCCTGGCTCCTCAATCCAGGGGGAAAAGACAGTAGTAGTAGATATTTACATTTAATATGGGTTTTAAAAGGGTCTGATGCATTTTCTCTTTTAAAACTTCACAGTTTATACCATACACTAAAATAAATTCCAGATACATTAAAGTTGACAATTTTAAAGCTACACTTGTCAACTGCAATGAATGGGCCTTATCTGGATATCTGAACAAACAAAACTGAGTATCTAAACAAACCAAATGCAGAAAACAAATTAAAAAATATACTTATTGGCCATCTGGAGAAATTTAAACACTGAATATTTAAAATAAAGAAACTACTATCAGCATCTTTAGGTGGGATCGGGGTGTTTTTAAATCCCTTTAAAGACCTTAACTTTTAGCAGTTCATACTGAAATATTTATACATGAAATAGTAATATATGATTCAAAATAATTGAGAAAGGAAGGGAGAGTAGGGAGATCTAACTGAAAAAAGACTGGCCATGAGTAGTGATTGTAGATGCTAAGTGATGGGTATGTGAGGGTTCATTATACCATTCTAAGTATTTCTAAAGTTTTCATAAGTAAGAAGCTAAAGGAAAGAAAACTATAAACTAAATAAAAAATTATAATAAGAGAAAGATATATTAAAATTACACCAAGATGCCCTTTTCTCTCTACCAGGTTGGTAAAAAAATCAAGCTTCACAACAGGCACGATTATACACTGTAAAATTTACACAACTCTGAGGTAGGTGGCATAATGGCCCCAAAGATATCCAGATCCTAATCCTGGAACCTGTGAATGTTATCTCATGTGTCAAAAGGAGCTTTGCAGATGTCATTAAGTTAAAGATTCTAAGATGAGGAATTATCCTGAATAATTTGAGTAGGCCCAATATAATCATAAGTGAACTTATAAAAGGGAGGCCAAGGCATTTTTGACTCCAGAAACAGAAGAGAAGAAGGCGATGTGAAGACGAAGCAGAAATTCAAAGATGCTAGGCTGCTGGTTTTGAAAATGGAGGAAGGGCCAAGAGCCAAGAAATACAAGGAACACAGCTCCAGAAGCTGGAAAATGCAAGGAAATGAATTATCCCCTAGAATCTCCCAGAGAGCACAGCCCTACCAAAATCTTGATTTCAGCCCAATGAAACAGATTTCAGAATTCTGACTCCATAACTGCAAAAGAATAAATGTATGTTATTTTAAGCTGCCACATTGGTGGTAATTTATTACAGTGGCCATAGGAAGGAGGGAAATTTGACAACACCCAGAAAAACTACATATGCACTTAATCTTTGACCAGTGATTCCACTCCTAGGCATCCATTCTACAGATACATATGAGTAGAAGTAAAAAAGAGCAAGATCATTCATTGTATCACTTCTTAGTAAAAGCCAAAAGACTGGAACAACTTAAGAGTCCACCAACAGAAGTCAAACAATATTACAACCACCCAGTGGAATACTATGCAAATACATGAAAAAGCATCAGAAAGGACTCTATCTACTGATATTACAAAGTCACTAGAATATATCTTTAATTAAAATTGGAAAGGTGGTAGGCAGAGTCCGTATCAAAATCTGCCATTTGTTTAGGGACGGGTGAGTTGGGGCGAGGGGCAGGGAGAAGAGCACGATGGGAAGGAGGCATTTCTGGACAAAGGTTTAAGTTGACAAACCATGTGAATTCCTTACTTACTCGGGCAAGCAAAGTTCATTTTTCTGAGCAAAAGAAAATCCCTTGCAGTAGGTATAACAACTTGTCCATACCTTTAAATAAAAAGCACTTGCAAATCAAGTAGAAAAAAGCCCATTAAGACCCCAGAAGAAAACAGGGACAGACAATTCACAAAAGAAATACTGCAAAGAATAAGAAATATTTAAAAATGTTCAAAACACCAGTGGTCAGAGAAATGCAGATAAATCACCAAATACTGCATTTCATCTACCAAAGTGGCAAAGAGTTTAACATGCTAATACATTAGTATTGTATCACTGTACATATAAAATGGATCTACACTTTCATACTTTGAAACTTCTCTCAGTCTACAGCAAGGACCTTAAAAATATTAAATCTAGTTATTTTCAATTCTATAAATTTATCCTAAAAAATATAAATAAAAACACAAAAAGGGCCTTTGAAACAAAGTCAACAAAAAGGAACAGATGAAATAAATTCTAAGATACTTCATCAACTGAATTAATACTATCACATCTTAGAAAATGATTAGCAACAGGCTAAAATGCTCAAATATATGTGAAAACCAAAAGCAAAACTTAAAACAGTATAATCTTTGTTTTGTTTAGAAAGATTTTATGTATTAATTTATCACCCTAAATATACATATACTTATCCATATTGAGAAAGCAAGTGAAAGAATACATATATTCATAGGGGAAAAAATGAAAAACTTTGCCAAAAATATAGATTTAGTTTCCTAATGGGCATTACAAGTGATTTTTATTTTTCTTTATATAGTTCTATATTTTTCAAATTCTACAGATTTAGATGCATTATGATCAAGAAAATAAAATGAAACTCTATTTTTTAAAGGCTCCAATTTGTTCCTTCTTCATTTCCGCTGTCACTAACTTACTAAGCCCTCATTATTTTATACCAGAATTATAACACACTCCAAGCTGACATCTCCTTTTCTCTTCTTGTATACACAGTCAGAACTGCCTTCTAAAATAAATAATCCCTAGCCTCACTGATCTCTTAGGTATCGGAGAAATTAAACACACACACACACACACACACAGTTGCTGTTCCCAAATATGTATACATAACCTAGAAAGAGTACAGAAATCAGTATGCAATAAATAAACGCAGCTGGGCACAGTGACTCATGCCTGTAATCCTAGAGCTTTGGGAGGCTGAGGCAGGAAGATTCCTTGAGTCCAAGAGTTCTAGACCAAACTGGACATCATAGCAAGACTCCATCTCTACAAAAAAATTTAAAAATCAGCCAGGTGTGGTGGCATATGCTAGTAGTCCTGGCTACCTGGGAGGCTGAGGTGGAAGACCAAGGTGGGAGCCCTTGAGCCCAAGAGTTGGAGGCTGCAGTGAGCTACGACCATGTCACTGTACTCTAGCCTGGGCAACAGAGCAAGACCTTGACTCAAAAAAAAGAATAAATGCTAAAATCAGTGGTATGAATTAAGTCCCATGGTTTACATAAAGTAGGAAGGGGCCGACCCCTGAAGAGTCACATGGAGAAGAGTAGCATAGTCAGACCATGAACAGAAGTCTCAAGACCAGAAATGAGTCATCAACAAGACATCATCACAACGGAAGAAGCTTTAGGTGATGAGGGTCTGAGCTAGAGCAATGACTGGGAATGGAGAAGAGGAAAGATGTTTATGAGACATTAATGTTTTCACGATGAATTAGAGGCATGCAGTCAAGAACTGAGAATTACCGAAATGTTAGGCTTGGGCAACTAGGCAGAGGAAAGGGCCACTCGTTGGGAGAAAAAAGAGAAAAAGGAGGTTTGTGTCACTTAGTTTTTGAGTCTAACATCATCATTCTTTCTAATGGATCTCATTCAGAGTGCAGGTCTACTCACTAGCTTAATCTTTCCTTCTAATGAAGTCTATCTCTATGCAAACATTTTCCTCTCTCCCACCTCTCCATAAGACACTTAGCAGCATTAGTTAAGTCCACTCAATGCAAATATACAATATTTCAAACTCTCTTTGATAGATAACAAAGCAATAGTTGTATTTTACGCACATAAACAGCCAGTAGTGAATTCAATGAGAAAACCATTTTTTATAAAGTGTTCAAATGTCTTATTAAATTATCTTCTGTCTTACCTCTGTCCACAATGAAGTTCCTCGTCCTAAAGACTCCTCTTGTTTTAGAGACATGAGAAAAGTTGAGACATCAGAAAGTGATACTTTCTCCTGGACAGGGTGGGGGAGTTTTAAAAATTACTCATTTGAAAATATTTAATAAAATAAAATAAAATCATTGTGGAAGCAACCAAGTATACTATTTGAAGTAAGTTATCATTAGCTAAATCAAAAGAAAGTTATATTTTAGAAAGAAAATATTATTCAACTTTTAAAGTAAAGACACCAATTATAATCTTTCATTATATAAAAGAAAAAATTATTTAAAAAATCTGTTTTCCTTAAAAGTTACTATCTTAAAGAAAAGATGGTAACAATATTTTTTTCAAAATATACCATTCTGTAAGAAAAATTGATTTTCACTCAAAAAGTTACTCTTTTTCAAAGCCACAAAAATGACCCCCTAATTACAGAAAACCACCCAGGCTTTTCACTCCCTTAAGACTGTACATCTTGTGGAATCAACCTAAAGGCCCATCAACGGATCAGTGGATGAAACACACACACACACACACACACACACACACACATACACACACACACCAGGGAAGACCACGCAGCCATAAAAAAGGATGAAATAATGTATTTTGCAGCAACGTGGGTAGAACTGGAGAACATCATCCTAAGTAAACTAACACAAGAACAGAAAAATCAAACACCACAGGGTTCTCACTTAAAGATCTGCAAAGGCAAAAAGAATGGTATAAGGGATATTAAAGACTCAGAATGGGGGAAGGGGTGGAAGGACGAAAAATCACCTGTTGGGTACAATGTGAACAGGTGCACTCCAGTCTGGGTGACAGAGTGAGACTCTAGCTCAAAAAAATAAAAAAATAAAAAAATAAAATGAAAAAAAGGATTGCACATGCTGAATTAAGATCCCTTGTCCTAGGTCACGGGTTGGCAAAACTACTCACAGTCTGTTCTATAAATAAAGTTTTGTTGTAGCACAGGTGTGTCCATTTATTTAAAAACTGTCTATGGCTGCTTTTGGCTACAATGGAAAAGTTCAGAAGTTACAAGAGACCATAGAACCACCTGCAAAACCTAAAAAATATTTACCATCTGGCACTTCACACAGTTTGTAGACCCCTGTTCTAAGCAATAGTATTTATTGGGGCCCTGTACAAAGCACAGAATAAAGATTATATGTAGACATATATATTCCTTGAATGTCAAGGAAAATGAGGGAGAAAAGCACACGGGGAACTAGGCACAAGCCCCCAGAATCCTCTCCTGGTGAGTCACCCAGAATGTGCTGAGTTCCCCATGCAATGAGTTGTGATGACACAGTGATGTGTTGTTCAACAGGGCAGCTTGCTAAAGACTCAGTGTCCAAGTTCCTATGAGAACATAGTCACTTAGGCACATTCTGCCTCGCACATACTGAACTCCCAGACTCCCCGAAGGAAAACAGGCTGTCAGCATAATCCACATTGTTTGTACACACAGTTTGGGCAAAGTGAGCCACTCCCAGCAGCTAGGATAGTGTCAATCTTCCCAAAATACAAGTTCCCAGGTGCCAGCCAAGGGCAACCCCATAAGCAGGGTTTCCTAATGGTAGTATCACTAGCCTGCTACATTAACTTATTTTTGCACACCCGCTCACTAAGGAAGTCCTATAAATGGAAGTAACGAAAGACAAACTTACCACATCCAGCAAATTCATAGCGGCTTGAAGAAGATAGCATTGAGCTGCTCCTCTCAGTAGAATCTGATGTGTGATCATAGTACAGTGAATAACATCCCTAATATCAAAACACAAAAAACGCAAATCCATATTCCCAGACAACTGATAATTTGTAATTATTGACAAATTGATACATCACACCTACAGTTTCTGATGCAAAAAGTGACTGTCAGTAGAATTTCAAAGCTGTTATTTGCCATTATGGCCTCTAGTAGACCTCAATTTTAATATGAAATAAATCTCTTTTAAAAAATAAGACTAAAAACAAGATGCTTTTCAAGACTTGCATTTTCTGAAATACTTTCTAATCAATATTATTGATATTTTTAGCTTTCTACTCATCAATGTAATAAAAACGGCCTTATTTAAAAAGGTCAAAAATCAATAGCATATACTTTGGTATACATTGAAATCAGTGATTCATGAAACAAAATAAGTTTAAGTACACATACCTCAAATATTCCAATGCCAATATTAACTAAAACCACTCACTATAGATTAAAGCAGAGGGAAAAACAAAATATACTGATGGAAAGTCAGGACAAATAACTACACAAGAATATATACACAATAAATTACCTAAGAGCAAGAAGTCCTTCCATACCCAGGGCCTTATATCTTGGGACATTTGCCAAAGCCTTAGATAGAAACAAAATGGGAACAGCACACCAATGTCTCCTCGTCATCTTCTGAACAAACTTTAACAAAAAACTACCTGAAAAAAAAATTTTTTTAATATCATCATTGCCAATAAGCACATGAAAAGTTGGTTAACATCATTAGTCATTAGAGACATACAAATCAAAAACCATAATGAGATGGTTCACACCCACTAGAAAGGCTACAATCCAAAGGACAGGCAATAATCAGTGTTGGGAAGAATGTGAAGAAACTGGAGCTCTCACACACTGCTGGTGGGAATATAAAATGGTACAGCTACTGTGGGAAACAGTATGGCGGTACTTCAGAAAGTTAAACGTAGAACTACCACATGACCCAGCAATTCCACTTCTAGGTATATACCCAAGAGAATTGGAAGCAGGTGTCTGCACAAAAACTTATACGTGAATATTCATAGCAGTATCATTCATAATAGTCACAAGTTAAAACAACCCAAATGTCCACCAACTAATGAATGGATGAACAAAATGTGGAATATCTGCACAGTGGAGGATTATTCAGCCACAAAAAGGAATGAAATACTGATACGTGCTTCACATGGATGAACCTGAAAACACATAATATATGATGCCATTTGCATGACATGTTTAGAATGTACAAATTCATGGAGACGGAAAGTGAATTAGTGGTTGCCAGGAGGTTGGGAGAAAGGAGAATGAGAAGTGACTGGTAATGGGCACAGGGTTCTTTTTTTTGGGGGGGGGTGATGAAGATATTCTGGAACTAGATAGAGGTGATAATTGTACAACTTTGTGAAAACACTAAACACCAATGAAATCAAAGAGTTTGTGGTATGTATATTATATTTCAATAAAGCTAAATTTCCTTCCTATTTAGTAAAATAAGTATCCTACTAAATTGTAAAGATTCGGGTAATAATGAAGCTATGTCAAAAAAAAGTTGAGGTGGCCGGGCTCAGTGGCTCAGCCTGTAATCCCAGCGTTTTGGGAGGCCTGAGCCCGCAGGTTCGCGACCCACCTGGGCAACTTGGCGAGACCTCATCTCTACAATAAATCAAAAAATCAGTTGGGCATGGTAGCACGTGCCTGTAGTTCCAGCTACTCAGAAGGCTGAGGCGGAAGGATCGCCGGAGCCCAGCAGGTCGAGGCTGCGGTGGCCGGGAGCAGCTACTGCACTCCACTCTGGGCGACAGAGTGAGACTCCAACTCAAAAAAAAAAAAATTGAGGTAAAAGATGAAACTTTTTACTCTTAGAAATCATTTTTCTGTTTGATATGTCAAGGAAAAACAGGATAGGACATATGACAACTGGTCTCTAGTATCTGCAAACAATAACACAGGACTTTCTCACAAGCTGTCTCTTGACTAGCTTGGATCCAACTACATTTATATTTCTACTGTGAGATATAAAGATCAGTGCTTCACTCTTCCTTCTCTGTAATGTGTGATTTATTAAGGACCCTTAGGTCATGCGTTAGTAAAAATGTTTGTCTGTTTTTCTCAAATCATGATTGTAAAATGCCTTTTAAGATAACCCCAGAAGCTCCTAAAAGGATATTACATGTATGTTTTTCTATGCTCCAAAGTACTTATCACAAAACTTGACACATATAAGATATTCACTGGAAACTGGTGACTGAAAAAAACTACCACATAAGAACTATGAGTAAATACTCTAACTGCTGTCTTCTGTTTGTACTGGTTAACATCAATAAATCCCATCTTTTGCCTAACATCTTACGACACAAGAAAGACAGCAACAGCCAAGTAACTATTTCACATTGATTCAACACATTTACCAAGTGTCCTTGATGCGTCTGGCCCTGAGCCACAAACACCTGGCGCTCAAATTCTAGAAAGTACCAACCAATATCACTTCACTCATGTGTGCTACTGACATTAGAGGCACCAACATGGTTGACAAGTTAATTCCCATATGGCTGCAGACCAGAAGTTTTAACTTCTGAATTCTAGCAAACTAAAGGATGGCTCTAATATTTAAATGATCTTCTCCATTAACTAGTTTTTAAAGTAATCAAAACAATCCATTTTCTACAAATTTAAAGTCATGATAGAGAAACCATGTTTTCCTATTTTTCCTGACTTTTGAATAGATGTTATCATTGGTCATCTTGCCACCTGACTTGCAGATGTATTTCATTTCACACCCAGGGTTACCTTATAAATCACAAAAGTGAAAAAGGAGGACTTGCAAAGCAGAGCAAGTTCTTCTGTCGCTCAGCAAACAAAACCGAACTTCTTGTGTGCTTTGCTTACCAACTTACCTCATCTAGAAAGAAAAATAAATCCCCAACCTGAAGATGTGGGACAGGTCTAGGATACACAGTCTTACCTAAAACAATTGTATTTTCCTTTCTTAACTTCCTAAGTCAATATCCCTGAGGAACAACTTGCCACAGTGAGTATTCTGTTTATAGTTTTTGTTTTCCTAAAACCAGGTTCTCTTTCTTCATTATATTTTATTAATTGCTGAAACTGAATGGTAGATAATTAGAAAAGATAGCTAAACTGCAGCAAACCTTCTAAGATGACATCCATGCTATTCATGCCAGTACTGGCAATACTGCACACACCAAAGTGTGTACACAAAAAGTGTGTACTCACAACTGATGTCTGTTTAATTCTGACAAAATATGCACATTTTGGAAAAAGGAAACTATTTTGGAAATGTTGATTATAATAGTCATATGATGATGCTTATAACCAATATGCTAAAAATTTTTTAAATGTAAGCTAATAAATTTTTTAAAACTCTTTACTAACACATACTCTTTATTCCTTCTGGAAGAAGAGAAATATAAGTGACTAAAAACTTCTGTAATTTCAGTCCCAATGGAGAACCACTTCCTATCAGCTGGCCTGGGGACCTATAGACAAAGAGGAGGGGAAAAAACAAATATTTAAGATCTATTTACAAATTAAGTGCACTGTAACTCATCAAAATAGACCAAAAATCTTTCAATGATAAAACGACCAATCTTCTTTTTTTGAACCTGCATTTTACTTTTCAGTAAAATTCTGAGAATCTTTCAGATCACAGAATTATTAGGATCTTCTAGAAAAAGGAACATGAGTTAGCAACCTTGTATACTAAGTAGACACGGATTTCCTTTCTGTGACACTTTCCCTTCCACATTTTTCCACATGTATGAGTCTTGCTAAATAGTGTCATAAAAAATTACAACCTAAAATGATAATTTTGAATTATATCTTATCGTTTCCAACATATAAGCCAAGGACTTTAAATCTTTAGGTCTAAAATAAAAGAACTAACATTCATAGCAAAGATATATATTAGAAATAAATTACTTTTGCAAGAGCATTTAATTGTTACTATCTACTAAAGTCGTATTTTTTTCTGTTATATGCTTCTGCCAGGAACATTATCTGTTAATTGAACACATTAGAGTGCTAGAAAACTAAAGGCATTTCATAATAAATGTGTCTGTCAACTCTTTTAGAAAGCACCAAGATTTTTTCATTGGTTTTACTGCTCTCCAGCTGTCTAATTACTTCAGAAAACTATTCAATAGCAATGAGTTATATGAAACTAAAAATAATTGGCAGATCAAGCAAAGCTATGCTCTTTCGATATTTATCAGACCTAACTAAATATTAATCTTACTTAGCACAGACTAAAATTTTTAAAAGAAATTTGGGGGGGTAGATATTTTTCTGTTCAGAGACATACAAACAGAATACTCACAACTGTAAATTTAGTTAACATTAGAATGACAACATAATTTCAAAAGCAGAGGAAAACTGAAGATATCTTTCAAGAGAGAAGGCAATGCTCAAGAAAATGAGGCTAAGACACACTTTTCTCACTGCCAACCTTTTCAAAAGGTAAATGTGGCCAATAAGTAAATACAATATGAATAAAGGCAGTCACTGTTAAGTCTGGAAAGGAAAAAGGTTAGAAAGAACCCTGCAGTACTGAAGCTGGATGTAATGGTGTGAACTTAACGGTTCTTAACATGGAGAAAAGATGAGTGGATAGGTGGGCAGACAGACACTGAAACACAGACAGGTGGGCAAGTCTCATCAGCAGACAGAGCTATAAAGGTAAGACAAACACACACAGAGGGAGCAGCAACAACAGAGGCAATGTGGTAAAACAGTAACGTGGGAAACATGGACGAAAGGCAAATGAGAATTCTTTGTATTATTCTCATGACTCTTCTACAAGTCTAAAACTAAGTCGAAATACAAAGTCAAAAGAAAAGGAAAAAGGTTTAAAGTACTGGCTAGCCAAAGTCATTGCAATTTCCGAGACGGAAGAAAACAGGAGTAGGAGGAAGAAAGTGAGCACTAAAAGATATGGTTTCCAAAAGCTCAAGAACTAGGGGACACAAAGTAGGAAAGGAAACAAGAAAAAAAGGAGAAATGCTTGATACAAATAATAGAAGGCAAGAAGAATAACAAATACAGAAGGGACCACATGATAAAGAAAAGCTGACTATCAACTAGACAATGTATATCATGCACCAAATGCATTAAACAATCTAGTCATGTCCTGTAACATCAAATCAATGTATCAAATACATGGTAATACATTACGGCTAAATAACGTAATGCTTGTTTACCTGCTATACAGAGAGCTCTCTGAAAGTGCATCCATTAATGGTCCAACGATAAACTAAAGCAAAAAGAAAATACACAATATGTAATTTACAATAAGCTGTAACTGCAATTTTGAAAAATCAGCATGTAATGATTGTACATCCTACACAGGGTCACAGAAAAGCTGCTATAAGCACAGTTGACCTACACTGTAGGTTTGCTTACTTCAGTGATGGTCTTGGGGACCATTTACCAATTCTGTCAGAACAATACAATAAGTACAGAAGTCTCCCATCTGCTAAAATCTTTTTTTTTTTGAGTTGGAGTCTCACTCTGTCGCCCAGATTGGAGTGCAGTGGCTGCT